CGCGGCAGACATTTGAACCCAGTGCCTCTACTCTAAGGCTCCCGCATTCCCCTTAAGATACGATGTGCACCGCCCGGCGCCCAAAGCCCAAGTGACTGCACAAGCATGTCACGAACGATAGCAGAAAGATAGAAACAGCAACAACCGTAACATGCTTATTTACAAGACACGCATATACATGCATTAGTATTTGTGTTTCGATGTATGGGTGTATCTTGATGTGCATATATAAGATACGTAAAGAAACCGAAAGATGAAGCGATGCGATGTATATCTTAATTAAGAACCCAAAGCCTCCTTTTTGGTAGGGCTTCTTCTTTATAAACTCTTTATACGGTTCTTCGGAAAGAAGACGACAGCATACCCCCAAACCTTAAATCGTGTCGGCAGTAGCAAGCATTGAAATGAGTACTTTGACGGCTGAAGTGGAGAAGGGCTCCATGTGAACAGCAATTCGACATGGGCTAGTCGATCCTAAGCGAGAAGGAGCAAGCCCCAAACCCTTAACCTCAAGCTGAAAGCCTTCTGTAAAATTCCTAACTAAACACCAAACCCAAAAACCCCAACCCCGAAACCCCAAAACCCCTAATCCCCTAAACCCCTAGACCCCAAACCCTAAAACCCCAAACCCTAAAATTCCCAACCCCCAAACCCCTAAATCCCTAAAACCCTCAACCCCTAAACCCCTAAACCCCAAAACCCTGACCTGGCAGTTTCCTCGGGCGGGGCGGTACATGCCACGGCTGGCCATCCCCAACGGTGCCAACAGCAATGCCTAGGCCTGGGGAGAAGGGCCCCATCGTCACCGGGGTTTTGGGATCATTTTTTTGGGGTTTACTTGCGGTTTATGTGGGTTTATGTAGGGTTTCTGTAAGGTTCATGTAGGGTTTATGTAGGGTTTGTGTAGGGCTTGTATAGGCTTGATAGAGGGTATACTTTTGGGTTGGTATGGGGTCTTTTAGGTCTGAGGTTTGAGTCTTGAGGGGTCTAGGGTCAGACCCTCAGCTCGAACCTCACTAGTGCAAAGCTCCTACAGACTTGGGGCATCAAGTTCTAAACGGTTTAGGGTTTAGGGTTTACGGTTTAGGGTTTAGGGGTGGTTTTGGGGGCTGGAAGCTTTGTTTCAACGGACTGGAGGGAGCGCTTGCGAGATATGAAGTGCGCCTGCATGCAGACACCCTTAAACCCCAAACCTTAAGCTGCAAACCTTTTCTGTTGCCAGGAGTGCCCGGAAAAGTTTCGATTTGGGAGAATAGCCTTGAAACCCAGGGGCGAAAGCTTTAGCTCGAGCCTGGACTGTCCCTTTGTTGGGTCCCCTATGCAATACGGCACCCTGAGAACCCCCAAAAAGGGACCCACGGCTTGAGAACTGCCCAAGTATCTAAGAACCCCCCCCAAGCCCGAAGAGCCTCCCCCAACGCCCTATGGTTTACTGAACCCTAAACCCTAAGCCCTAACTCCCGAACTCCCGAACTCCCTAACTCCCTTACTCCCTAACTCCCTAACTCCCCAACTCCCTAATTCCCGAACTCCCTAGAAGATCTAACTCCCTAACTCCCCAACTCCCAAATTCCCGAACTTCCTACATGATCATTGAACCCTAAATCCTGAACCCCAAACCCTGAGCCCTAACCCCCCAGACCCCAAAGAAGATGTGGATGGATCAATGAACCCTACTTTTAACCCTATATAAGGCCTACAGTATAACCCCTATATAGATTCCTACAAACCCTATAGTATAAACCCTATGTAAAGCCCGATAAACCCTATATACAAGCCTCATAAAGCCTATAAACCCTATATAGAACCCTGTAAACCCTTTCAACCCTATAAACCCTAAAAAACCCAGAGCCAGCGCTGGAGGCACTCCCCCCCCGGTTTCTTCCTCAACAAGGGTCACAAGACATGCTGGGGAGTATCCGTGAGAATTCGCGGAGCTTGAAGAAGCTTCAGGCACGCTGCGAAGTAGGTTTAGGGCTTAGGGTTTGGGGTTTACGGTTTAGGGTTTAGGGGTTAGGGTTTTAAAGTCTAGGGTTTCTTGGGGTTCAAAGGTCTCTGGGTTGTTGGATGGTTTTGGTGAAGCTGGATTGCAGTCGTCTCCCTTTCCAGCACAAAGCTTGGAGAGTGGAAAATGCAGGGCTTCCTCGTCTGACCTTGTGAGCTTCTGATTCTCAACATCTAAACCCTATTAAGCTAAACCCTAAACCCTAAACCCTAAACCCTAAACCCTAAACCCTAAACCCTAAACCCTAAACCCTAAACCCCAAACACCGGAGTTCCTATGCTTGGGAGGCAAATCTTGGAGGGTCAGGGTTTAGGGTGCAGGTGCAAAGGAAGTGGAGGCAACTGTCCTTTTCAGACGAGGAGCCCCAATTCGGATCGAGAAATGGGGGTTTACGGTCATAGGGGGTACCTTCTTGGGGCCCTTTTACTTTAGGGGAATCCTGCTATTTGGGAGTCTATACTAGAAATCCCTTCTGAGCGTAAACCACCAAATCAAGAGACTCAAGACATGCTGCGGAAAGGAAGGAACGTGAGTGAATGCACTGTCATGCCATGCCCTCCTCATGGTTCAAAGTGGGGCGGAGCTTACTGCCAGCAGCTCTCAGACTTTCGCAGTTACGAGAGTCAAGGAGTTTAGGGGTTTAGGGGTTTGAAGGGTAAGTAGGTTTAGGGTTTAGGGTTAAGGGTTTAGAGTTGAGGGTTCAGGGATTCAAGGCTCTCAGGTGTGTGCGAGACGTGCCGTTTTGCTGTGAACAGAGTGGCCTTCTCTTGCCACATTCCCACGGAGTACCGGTGCTTGCAAGTGTTGGGCTACGTTTTAAGAGAGTCTTAGATGAGAGTTTAAGGCCCTGGTTCGATCAGTTCCTCTGTGTTAGGGTTTAGGGTTAGGGGTTTTAGAAGTTAGGGGTCATAGGATTAGGGGTCAGGGGTCAGGGGGTTAGGGTTTGGGGTTTGGGGTTTAGGGTTTAGGGTTAACATTATAAACCCTAAACCCCCAAACCCGAAACTGGGTTAGGGGTTCGGGGCTAGGGTTTTTGGTCCTGGCAAATGATATCCTGAGCAGCCGCTCGGATCAAGTGTTGCGTGCCTTTTAGCAACAGCCAGGGCCCTGTGAGATGAGTGTTTAAAGTTTATAGGGTTTAGGGGTTAGGGTTTAGGGTTTAGGGTTTAGGGCTTCAGGGTTTGATAAAGTTGCACTCGTTTTGGCTTATAAATTATTTACCCCCTATCCTCACAAGTTTCCTGCATGGGGTTACTCTGCGATCTCAGTTTGTTGGGGTCACCCGGGCTAGACACACGTATACTTTGTGTTTTTAAGGGAGCACACGAGCACGCGCACGCACACGCACACGCACACGCACACGCGCACGCGCACGCGCACGCGCACGCGCACCCGCGCACACGCGCACACGCGCACACGCGCACACGCGCAACGCGCACACGCGCACACGCGCACACGCGGCACACGCGCACACGCGCGCGCGCACGCACAACGCCGCACGCGCACGCGCACCGCACGCCACGCCACGCACACGCCCACGCACACGGACACGCCCACGCCCACGCCCACGCCACCCACACACACACACCCACCACACCCCACACCCACACAACACCACACCCACCACCCACACCCCACACACCCACACCCACCCACGCACGCACGCACGCACGCACGCACGGCACGCACGCACGCACGCACGCACGCACGTCGCATCGCGCGCGCGCCGCGCGCGCCGCGCGCCGCGCACGCGCGCCCCGCGCGCGCGCGCGGCCCGCTCCGCGCGCCCGCGCGGCCCCGCGCACCCGCGCCGCGCGCCCGCGCACGCGCGCCCGCGCGCGCGCACCGCGCACCCCGCGCACCCGCGGCGCACCCGCGCCCCGCGCACCCGCGCACACACCCGCACGGCGCACGCGCCCACGCGCACGCACACGCACACGCCCACGCCCACGCGCACGCGCACGCACACGCACACGCACACGCACACGCACACGCACACGCGCACGCGCACGCACACGCACACGCACACGCACAGGCACAGGCACAGGCACAGGCACACGGACATGCACATGCACATGCACATGCACATGCGCACACGCACGCGCACGCGCGCACGCACACCCGCGCTCGCGCGCACACCTGCACACGCGCACACACGCGCACACACCCACGCATGCGCACACGCACACACGCAGTCACGCACACGCGCGCTCGCGCGCAAGGACACGCAAACACACGCAAGCACACGCAAGCACACACGCAAGCGTGCGCAAACGCAAGCACGCGCAAACGCGAGCAAACGCAAACACACGACACGCGCAAACACACGCAAATACTCGCAAACACACGCAAACCCACGCAAACCCACGCAAACCCACGCAAACCCACGCAAACCCACGCACCAATCAACGCACCCACGCACCCTCGCCCGCGCGCTCGCCCACGCGCGCAGGCATGCACCCGCCCACGCACGTCACACGCATATGCAGTCACTCAAGCCAAGAGCCATTGAGCCATTGGAGTATTGAGTTGGGAACCGTGCTTTGAAGATCGCCTTGGGTATTTATCCTTGTCTACGCGGCATCTGCGTTGTGGTTTGTCCTGGCCGTTGTTTGGAAACTGCTGTCTGAAGCCGCGTCCGCATGGGGGTTTTGTGTTCAGTGCGGGTTTTGAACTTTGTCTTCTGTTGTCTGTAGAGTCTACAGTTGCGTCTACACGGGGCTTCGTCTTCGCTGTTGTCTGGGTCGCAAGGCCTCTTCAAAAGCAGTCTCAGTCGAATGTGGGCCCAGCCCCGTCTGCGGCCCAAGGCATATATAGGCATATACCTTATTGTATATATAGGGGGACTCATGATGAACTTGGGGTGAGCTTCTTAGTTAACTGTGTATTGGGCTTTCTGGGACCATCCCGGCTAGAAGCCTAAAACCATACTAGAAACGGAATTCTTTTTGGCAGGGCTTTTGGTGGCGGACCCGGTCGTGGTTAAAGTGGAAGCATGGCCTCGAGGATCTCGGGCGTGGTTCCTCATCTGCATCTAAGCCCTGACTAAGCTCTGAGTCTAATCTAGGCCTCCCCACCAAGATGAGGTTTGAGGGCTTCAGGGCTTTTAGGGTTCAGGGTTTAGGGTTTGTTTTTTTGGCGCGTGCACGTGCACGCGACTGCTGGCCCCTCGTCACAGCACCTTCTCCGCAGCGATCTTCCGGATCTCCCCTTCCAACTCTTCGGGTGGGCTTTGGGGTTTAATTTCAAGGTTGAAAGATTTCTGCCAATGACAAGTTAAGCCCCATTTCCCCCTCCCCAACCTCAACACCCAAAGCCCTTACACGCCCTTTGCTTTTGGCCCAAAGTTGAAAGCGTTCGAGACTTGCCTGCAGGAGGCGAGCCTGTCCGGCAAAGAAGCCCTTGAGGATGCCTCAGAAGAGGACCCCAGTGCCGCGAGAAGCCCTCACAGGTTGAGTGGGTTTGTGTTTAGAGCTGGATGGGGTTTAAAGGCTTTAGAGGCCTTACACCCTAAACCCTAAATTCTCATGGAACATCTCATCTCCAACATCTCTTCCGCTGCGGAGCTGCAGAAGAAGTCTCGTTGGCCTGGCATGTCATGCCTGCGTTTGGGGCGCTGTCTTGGAGCTTCGATAGGAGCTGCGGCTGTGCATGGGCTCTGCAGACCCCGACGCCAAGGCAGAAGGGGCTGCAAGGGGGGTCACCAGGGAGCCCGGGCCAAGCCCCGTTAATAGTTGTATGTGCAGCCCTTCGAAGTTCAGGAGAAGGAAGGCTTCGGCTCAGATGACACCCGGGCCACAATCGGCGAGAAAAGGGGCCGCCCTGAGCTCAGTTTCAATAGCTGCAGAGCTTCCTTAAACCCTATAAACCCTTAACCCAAAAACCCTCCTGCCGCGACAACGTGCGGGACCCTGCCGCCACTAGGACCACGACAGTGCTGCTCCGAGGTGTGAAGGAAGAGATCCGGACCCCGCTGGATTCATGCCCCGAAGATTCCAAGGAGCGAGTACAGGCTTCGCCTAATCCTAAACCCTAAAGCCTAAACCCTAAAGCCTAAACCCTAAACCCTAAACCCTAAACCTTAAACCCTAAACCCTAAACCCTAAACCCTAAACCCTATAACCCTAAACCCTAAACCCTAAACCCTAAACCCTAAACCCTAAACCCTAAACCCTAAACCCTAAACCCTAAACCCTAAACCCTAAACCGCAATCCCTGCGCCCTATGCCCTAGCTTACGCCTTGGCCCTGAAACCCCAAGTCGCCAACTCCCTCAGGTGCTAAACTCTCCCCCGCCCCCCCCTCCCGCGACATGCCCCCCGAAACCCAAGCCCTGAAGCTGGTCTGGGGCTCTCGGCCTTGGGGAGCTTAGAGTCTTATAGGGCCATATGGAGCTTTGGTGAATTTGGGTGCTTTGAGGGGCTGATCGGCCCAGCAGATGACAGTCTAGCGACTGCAGCTTGATAGCATGCAGCATGCCCACACCGAAGCGCCATAACAACCCTACAATCAAGCCGGTTGGAACTTTCCCAACTCAATTAGTTTTAGCCGGAAACCATGCTTGTGAGTTCCATGTGGCGAGGCTGAGATCGACTTCGCAAAGCAAGCGGCCCAAGCGTTTGACACAAAGAGCTCTGTGTGTGTGTGTGTGCGTCACACACATGCCTTCGATCGCTGCTTTGACAGAGTGCCGCATCTGCATTGCTATCCCCAGGCCACACCCTGAGCCGTCGGCGATGCCAAGAGCAAGGTTGATGTAGGGTGTCAGGTCTCCGAGTGTATAAGGCCTCAGTCTGCAGATCCGAGCAAGATGTACATCAAGATTCATGGAGTCTACCCAAGGTCCGAACTGGATGAGCCAGATGCGCTCCTCAACAAGTCGCCAAATCCCCAAGCCGAACTTAACATCTTCGAGCCATCCCTGGGGATTCCGTCCCCAGGCCTGTGGACTCCTCCAACTTATCCAGCAAGGGCAAAGGCAAAGGCAAAGCGAAGGAGAAGGTCTGCGACTTAGCAAGACGGGCCCTAGCGCGTCGGCTGTCGAAATTTGAAGTTTGAAGGGGTTCAGATGAGATTGCGGCGGATTCCTGTTTTGGAAGGGATGAAAGTATGTTCTGCGCTCAACCATGCCACGCCCTAGGAGCCATGGTCGACGGTGGTGTTTTTCCTTGCCTTGCATTTGTCATGACTGCTTGCTTGACCTGGGGCATCTCACGTGCGGGCTCTCTTCTGCAGGGGTCTTCGTGGCGGCCGGCCCCCCTCTAAGCTTTGAGCATTGCAGAGACAGCACGGCAAGGAATGAGGGCTTCCACAAGACCCATGAAACTAAGATCGAAGTGCCGCCAGAATACTGGGGCCCGCCCCCTGGTCTCTGCCACCGCACGCAGCCGGCCTGGCCTCCAGCTTTCTGCGGTTGCATGGAGTTTGCTTTCGAACAAGTTGCGTTTTAGTCATTAAGTGTAGCACAAGTGCAGACTACATTGAAGCCTCGTGCATTGCTTAAGGCGCGCCGGTTCTGATCAGGCGGCTTTGGGGAAAACAGAGTGCTTTTCTCGGTGCCACGACATGGTCAGCAGGAAGTTGTCAGCGACTTTGCCGGTGCTTTTCCAGCAATCACGTTTGCGAACTCATGTTCTGCTACCGTCACATCTTCGATCGCCGCTGTCTTGTCTTGATCACAAGCTCTGGGCAGCATCCAAACACTCCAGTTGTTGCCTTGACTTGCGTCGCAGTCTACGGCCCCAAAGCCCTCCAAAACAACACCGAAGCGCCACAAGCATTCTACAAGCTAGACCAGCCTAAAAACCTGGGCAAGATTTTCCAAGATTTTCCGCTAAGCCTGCTGCCCATCCTGGCCTCCATCCTTCGGCCGCCTTCGCCACTGAGCTGCATGGAACTAGTCTCGGTGGGCTCTGACTATATCCCCCTTGGGAATTATTTTTTGTTTACATAAAACCCAAGAGGATACTAAACATATCATCTTTACTACGGTTCTAAGGGGGGTATAGGCTAGTGTTGGCTGTGGTCCTCCCCCAGCCGAGATGAGCTGTAATTAGCCCTCCTGCATCGAATCAGGTCGGCGCAGGCCGCAGCCCCCGTATGGCCCGAACTCTCAGCCCTAGCCTTAAGCCCAGGCTAGGTGCTGACCGGCTGGTATCATCATCCACAAGAGTGCTCATGCGTCCCCCATGCGCAGATCTTTAAACATGCCCTGTGCGCTTGGGGTTTATTCAGGGGTTCAGGTTTCTGGCTTACAATACTTAAGGGGTTTGGGCGTCTGGTTTTATGGGGGTTTAAGGGACTGCGGTGGATATTTTGCTGGCTCAGCTACGTTTCAACCGGAGAAGAGCGGCGCAGGATCACCAAATGCTAATTGTCAAGACCCGACAAGCCCTACAAAGCACCGTTCACCATCACAAGCATTGACCCTCCTTTCGCCCAGCACCCCAACAAGTACTTTCCCTAACCCTAAACCATAAGCCCTAAGACTTAAGCCCTAAACCCTGACCCTTATAACACCTAAGCCCTAAACCCCGTACGTACCTGCACAGCGCCCCTATCAGAGACTATAGCCCTAGACCGCGCGCTCTCAGACCAGCCCCAAAATCTGCTCGACGTGGCCATCGTGGTTCTGACCGCGCTGGGAACTCAGGGTTTGTAGGGTTTGTATAGGAGTTTTCGTATGCAGTATGTAGGATTTGCAGCCTGAACGCGTCCGCGCTCCGCGTTCTTGAGCCCTGCAAGCCCGAAAACCTGCGCGCGTAATCTCCAAATTGGCACGGGTTTAGGGTTTAAGGTGTTGCTTGTGTACGGGCTTACGGGATATAGGATTTACCCGGGCTTCAGGCTTTAAAGGGCTTTAGGGTTTTTTGGGCTTCAGGGACTCAGCGCTAGTCAGCCCGAAACATGCCACGGAATCCTTTGTCAGGCAGGGGTCTGCTGAGGCTGTAGCGACTAGCTTCGTAAACCCTTTAGCTCTATAAGACGGTCCAGCTTTGTGGTTGCCATGGGGTTTGGCGGGTTTGGGGCTGCAAAGCCCTAGCGAAGCTGTGAACCCTAACTGTGAAACTTGAAGTTGGCATGCCTAGTCTCATCGTTGGGCAAGTTGATTGCTTCCAGGCTTGAGTTTTTTTTGTCCCGAGAGGGTTTAGGGTTTAGAGTTTTGGACTTTAAGGTTTAGGCTTTGAGGTTTGATCCTCTTGGGGTTTAGGGTTAGAGTTTTTCCAAACTCACCGGCGCAAAGTTGCATCAAGTTCTCACAGCTCTCGCGCTTGTTGGGATGGGATCTTTGAGAAGGGTTTAGTGGAAGGCGCGCGCCAGATGAGGCGCGCAGGCAGCAGATACACCTAAACCCTAAGCCCTAAGCCCTAAACCCTAAACCCCGAACCCTGAACCCCTTCCCTGTTGGCACGAGCCCCGGAAACTTGCGACCTTATGGGCCCCAAGTCTGAGGCAATTTACAAATTGCTCTCGAACACCGGCGAAGCTTTCGCTCGGGCCTACAAGTGGGTAGTTCTCTAAATAAGGGTCCCTGTTTTGGGGGGTCCTTTGTATAAGGGGCCGTATTATACATGGGATATGGGGCATGGATTCCTTGTTCACAAATTGCAGCCCCAAAAAGCCCTATGGTTTGCGGAGCCCTAAACCCTAGCTCCCTCACTCCCTAAGAATTTGCGAAAGCCCCTAAACCCTAAACCCTAAACCCTTAACCGTGACTCCCCAGACCCCAAAGAAGAAACACCCCAGAGCTAGCTCTGGAGGTCCCATTCGCGGTGTCTCTGCAACGAGGGTCACAAGGCGTCCTCACGAATCTGTGAATTCGCACGGCGCAAACTTCGCTGCTGTGAGCTTGAAGAAGCTTCAGACATGCTGCGAAGGTAAGGGCCGCGAGTTTGTAGGGTTTAGAGTTCAGGGTTTAGGGTTTAGAGATAAAAGTTAAGGGTTTATAGGGTTCAAATGTCTGTAGGTTCTTGGACGGTTTTGGTGAAGCTGGACTGCAGTCGTCTCCCTCTCCAGCACAAAGCTTGGAGAGTGGAAGATGCAGGGCTTCCTCGTCTGACCTTGCGAGCTTCTGATTCTCCAAGTTTGTCTTCGGAGCTCCTGCTTCGGAAGGTTAGGGTTTAGGGTACAGCTACGAACAAGTGGAGACAACATTCCATTCAGACCAGGAGCCCAATTCGGATCGAGAAATCGAGAGACACAAGACAAGCTGCGGGTGAAGGAACGCGAGCCTATGCCCTAAACCCTAAACCCTAAACCCTAAACCCTAAACCCTAAACCCTAAACCCTAAACCCTAAACCCTAAACCCCAAACCCTACAGTGGCAAGTGGGATGGAGCTTACTGCCAGCAGCTCCTAGACCTTCGTAGTTTCTGGAGTAATCCCCCCTGCACGCCTTTGTAGAACATGAGTTTGAAAGCTGCGGCGCTACTTTAACACGCCAAATGCAGACCTGTCGCAACGAGCCACGGAGCTTCAGTGGGGAGTGTTTCTTCATTCAATAGTAGGGACAGCTACAGCATTACAAGAAAGTAGTCAAGATACATGTCTTAATAATGCCCTAACTAGTAATTCACTTAAGAGGCGTTGGGTGCACTGCCATCACTTGATTCGATTGCCGCCGTCCTGTCTTGCTCCAGGCTACTTGCGCAAGCAGCCACATCATCTCTATCACTCTGGTTCTCAGGTCGTAGCCTCCTTGCACAACAACATTGACTCATCCGCGCTGGGCTCCTCTCCGCCTTGCGAGCTTCTGAAGGCGGAAGTGATTTAGGGTTTAGGGTTTAGGGTTTAGGGTTTAGGGTTTAGGGTTTAGGGTTTGTGGGTTGGGTTCGGGGCTTGCGTCTGTAAGTGCTGCGGGTCGCGCGGTCGAGGTAAGATTTCGGGTTTAGGCTGGTCAAGCAAGTGTCCCCGGTGCGTCTGCTTAGCTATGGTGATGAAAGGGATGCTGAAGCACATAGGTGCAAGAAAAATCTAGCCTACAACCCTAAACTGCAGCTACAGCCAGCCCTCAACCCTAAATCTCTAAACATCTCTAAACCTGAGAACTGAGAACCTACTAGTGCAGGGTTGGCATTATCTTCCTTGGCGCGGGCGCAGCTCGGGTAACCGTCCTCGGGCCGTTTAGGGTTTAGGGCTGAGGGTTGATGCCCCATCCGAGAGTCATCCTGCAATCCAAAGCCGCGCAGGACCGACGCACAGGCCCGCCTTGCGTCTCTTGGGGCTTTCAAAGCCGTCTTAGGGTGGCAGGGTTCAGGGTTTGAGCCTCGGTTTGAGCCTTCAACCTTCAGCCCTGAAAGTTCCCAACGCTTCAAAGCCCAAACCCTGAACCCCGAAACCCTCAATGCCAATCTCCGATGCGAAAGGCTGAGCCCCGAATCCTACCCCTCAAAGCCCTCTATGCAAACCTTAAGCCCCAAATCCCGTAGCGCATTGCATGCAGCTCAGTTGCAAAGTGTGGGTGTGGGTGAGGATGTTAGGACTGTATTCAGCTTATCCTGTGCTTGCTTGGGAGGCTTGGGGGGTTAACCTAATGTAACATGGTGTTGGGCCCGGAACTGGCATCTCAGTCAGAGGCTGCTTGCGCAGCGCTTGTGCATTCTAGTGTTTAAAATCTGCCTCTCACTTTCGCGCCAGGCGCGATGTCGTGGATGCTTCCCTCCTGGGCCCCGTCCTGAGTCTGAGTGTCATATGCTTCTTGGATGATGCGCAATGCAGCCAATTGCAAGTTGTCTCGTTCTTCGCGATAACACGTAGCGAT